CTAAAAACTTTGTTAAAGCATAAGGAGACATTCCACCATAAGTGATTCTGTGAATACAAGTACCAGAACTGGCTGTAATTAAAAAGATAAACTAGGGACTTGCCTGGTGGTCCAGTGGTTAAGAATCTGTCTTCCAATGCAGGGGACATGGATTTGACCCCTAGTCAGGGAACTAAGATCCCACAGGCTGCGGGGCAGCTGAGCCTGCGCGCCACAACTTCTCAGCCTGTCTGAGAGTCCGAAATGACGGCCCCTCGAGCTGCCACGACTGGAGCCCTTGCATCCTAGAGCCCGGTGCTCCCCAGCAAGAGAAGGCACTGCAAGGAGAAGCCCTCACCCCGCAGCTAGAGGAGGCCCATGCACAGCGACAGACCCAGCACAGCCATGAGCAAGTGAGCATTTAGAAATAAAAGTGCTTAAGATAAACTTTATGCCCTGTGATTATCACAGATTATAGGTGAATCCCTAGTTTTGATTAGTCTGTGCACTGATCATTAGCTTTTTGTATGCCCCAGCTACTTTGATTCCCTCTCCTTTGATAAAATTCCAGAGAGGCGGAAACCTGCATTTTATCTCACTATGCATGACTATCTTTTTCATGTTTAATAGATTTGTTTCACTAATTTTGATCAGGTACATTATTTTTATAGTCTTATGGTACAAGCATAAGGAAATCAACAAAGAGCCATTTCCAAATACAGTTATGAACAGTTGGGTTTAAATCTGTAAGATTAGCAGTTGCAGAGATTGAACACTGGATGGCACCCAATCATCATCAAAAATATAACTATAGTCGCCTTTTTTTAAATTTAATGTGTGGAAATTTTCACACACAAATTTTCTGTTCAATATTTTGCTGAACATAAAGTTTCATCATTTTTTCCTTTGGAAATAATTTCAAAGTTATAAAATTTTGCAAATATAAAAATAGTACTGAAACAGTCATATCGTCTTTACAGATTTCCCTGGTGTGAACATTTTACATCATTCACTTGCATCATTCTCTCTCTCTCACTCTAATAATTCTTTCTCGTTGTTGTTCCTATTGTTAGTCACTAAGTCGTGCGATACCATGGCTGTAGCCCACCAGGCTCCTCTGTCCCTAGAATTCTCCAGGCACGAATACTGGAGTGAGTTGTCATTTCCTTCTCCAGGGGATCTTCCCAGCCCAGGGACTGAACCCATGTCTGTGCATTGCAAGAGGATTCTTTACCGCTAAGCCTCCTGGGGAGCCCTAATAATTTTTTCTATCTAACTATAATTATATTCCTAAACTATTTGCAGAAAAGTTACATACATAAGGAGTCTTTACCCTTGAATATTTTAGTGTGTATTTCCTGATAATAGGGATATTCAAAAGAGTTTCTCTTTTGACGGTATTTAGAAAAATTTTTATAGCACAAAAGATTAAGGTAAAAATTTTTCCTAAAAGCTTCACACATTGTAGGTTTTGTGTGCTTTATGTGTACTTAAATTATGGTCTGGAAATAAAACTAATTTTATATTAACTTCTACAAAATAACTCCTTCTCAAGTATATCCCTAAGCTGGGAGGAAATGAAGAAACTAAACATAATGGAAAGATGGTCTCCAATTTCTGAAGAAAAAAATGACATAGGTAAAAATTATAGCAAAGAAAATGTCATGCTGCTGAGATTAATTTTATTCATAAAAAAGCCCAGAAATTCCAAATCCCAACAATCCATTAAAAGGCAGGAATAGAAGTTAAATATAAGCAAAATAAAGTAATTTTTAAGTGACTAAAGTTAAAATACATGGTAAAGAGAAAACAATAAATATGATAGTAGAAATAAATCATAAAATGTCACCACTAATAATAATAAGTGTAAATCAACAAAACAGGTTTTTTAAAGAACTACATAAAAACATATTCAAATTTCAGGTACATGCTATTTAAAATAGATACTAAAACAGAATAACATAGAAAGACTGAAAAAGAGAAATAGACCCCTCATAAACAGCACCTAAAAGGAAAGTGAATATATATATGAATATGTGTATTAAATATATATGTGCGTGCATGCATACCAAGTCACTACCCTCGTGTCTGACTCTCTGCGACACTTCGGGCTGCAGCCTGCCAGGCTCCTCTGTCCGCGGGATTCCCCAGGCAAGAGTACTGGAGTGGGGTGCTCTGCCCTTCCTCCAGGGCATCTTTCCTACCCAGCAATCGAACCAGTGTCTCTCACGCCTACCTGCATTAGCAGATGTGTTCTTTAGCATGAGTGCCACCTGGGAAGAACCATTAAATACATATATATATGTACATATATGCATGTATATAAATAACACACATATATATATTACACATGAAATATAGTAAATTGAGTCAGGAAGCATGATTAGAGATTAGGAAAGATATTATATAGTGAAAAAATTGTTATCGAAAAGGTGTAATCTGGGCACATCCCGGTGGTCCAGCCATTAAGACTGGGTCTCCACAGCAGGAGCAGCGGGTTTGATCCCTGGTTGGGGAAGTAAAATCCCACATGCCACGCAGCATTTTTTTACAAAAAAAAAAGTATAATTTGAATACACCTAACATACTCTTCAAGCCAGGCTGCAGCAATACGTGAACCATGAACTTCCCGATGTTCAAGCTGGTTTTAGAAAAGGCAGAGGAACCACAGATCAAGTTGGCAACATCTGCCGGATCATCGAAAAAGCAAGAGAGTTCCAGAAAAACATCTATTTCTGCTTTATTGACTATGCCAAAGCCTTTGACTGTGTGGATCAAAACAAACTGTGGAAAATTCTGAAAGAGATGGGAATACCAGACCATCCAACTTGTTTCTTGAGAAACCTGTATGCAGGTCAGGAACCAACAGTTAGAACTGGACATGGAAAAACAGACTGGTTCCCAATAGAAAAAGGAGTACGTCAAGGCTGTATATTGTCACCCTGCTTATTTAACTTATATGCAGAATACATCATGAGAAACGCTGTGCTGGATGAAGCACAAGCTGGAATCAAGATTGCTGGGAGAAACATCAATAACCTCAGATATGCAGATGACACCACCCTTATGGCAGAAAGTGAAGAGGAACTAAAAAGCCTCTTGATGAAAGTGAAGGAGGAGAGTGAAAAAGTTGGCTTAAAGCTCAACATTCAGAAAACTAAGATCATGGCATCTGGTCCCATCACTTCATGGCAAATAGATGGGGAAAGAGAGGAAACGGTGTCAGACTTATTTTGGGGGGCTCCAAAATCACTGCAGATGGTGATTGCAGCCATGAAATTAAAAGACGCTTACTCCTGGGAAGGAAAGTTATGACCAACCTAGATATCATATTAAAGAGAAGAGACATTACTTTGTCAACAGAAGTCCATCTAGTCAAGGCTATGGTTTTTCCAGTGGTCATGTATGGATGTGAGAGTTGGACTGTGAAGAAAGCTGAGCGCTGAAGAATTGATGCTTTTGAACTGTGGTGTTGGAGAAGACTCTTGAGAGTCCCTTGGACTGCAAGGAGATCCAACCAGTCCATCCTAAAGATCAGTCCTGGGTGTTCCTTGGAAGGCCTGATGTTGAAGCTGAAACTCCAATACTTTGGCCACCTCATGTGAAGAGTTGACTCACTGGAAAAGACCCTAATGCTGGGAAGGATTGGGGGCGGGAGGAGGAAGGGACGACAGAGGATGAGATGGTTGGATGGCATCACCAACTCGATGGACATGGGTTTGGGTGGACTCTTGGAGTTGGTGATGGACAGGGAGGCCTGGGGTGCTGCGGTTCATGGGGTTGCAAAGAGTCGGACACGACTGAGCAACTGAACTGAACTGAACTGAACATAGTCTCAAAATATTTAAAGCAAAAATATGGAGAAATATTAGAAGAAACTTACAAACCCATAAATTTCTATTGAGAAGTTTACAAATTAATAAGAATCTAGATTTAAACAACATAATTAACAATCTGATCAAGGTTACGAATGCAGAACTGGCACCACAAACTAGATAATACACATTATGTAAAAATAATCACATAGGGATACTGGCTGGGAATATAAAGTAGAGATACCTCAAGGGAAAGGAATTTGAGAAGACTGCATTTATCCTTTGACCCAGAAATCTCAGTTCCGAGAGTTTAATCACAAAAACACATGTGTGAAAGTATGAAAAGATAAGGAATTCCCTGGCAGGGGGAAGTAAGGTCCTGCAAGCCCCATGGTGCAGTGAAAAAAGTTTTTCTAAATGTGAAAAGATATATACACAAGGCAATTTATTCCAGTTCGATTTGTAACAGTGAGAGACTGAAAAACAACCCACACATCCATGAATAGATTACTCGTTGAATAAACATGTGGCTCAGATCATGAACTCCTTATTACAAAATTCAGAGTTAAATTGAAGAAAGTAGGGAAAACCACTAGACAACTCAGGTATGACCTAAATCAAATCCCTTATGAATATATGGTGGAAGTGACAAATCAAGGGATTAGATCTGATAAGCAGAGAGCCTGAAGAACTATGGTCGGAGGTTTCGAACTTTTGTACAGAAGGCTGTGATCAAAACCGTCACCGAGAAGAAATGCAAAAAGGAAAAGTGGTTTTCTGAGGAGGCCTTACAAATAGCTGAGAAAAGAAGAGAAGCTAAAGGCAAAGGAAAGGAAAGCTATATCCATCTGAATGCAGAGTTCCAAAGAATAGCAAGGAGAGATAAGAAAGCCTTCCTCAGGTGCGCGACTGCAGGCACGTGTGATTGCGGTGGTGAGGGTGCTCCTGGATGTTGTTACCATCCACTGCCATCGAGGGGCCCAGGTGGTGCCTGCGACCTGCTAAGTACAGGTAGACGACCCTCGGCTGCTCCGCAGCAGAGCTCCTGTAAGATGTGCTGGTCAAAGCTTCTAGCAAATTTGGATCCGTCTCTTCAGTGCAAGCGTTGAACACGCCCGTCTCCTGAAGTTGCTGTCAGAGGCACTTCTAGGCTCTGCACTGTGTTCCTGCTCCAGCTTCAGCAGCAGACATCCCAGGATGAGAGAACTAGAAGAGACTTGAGAGGTGATTCCTTCCATGGATGATAGATTCTTCCAGGGAGTCTGCAGTGGCCTCCATGCTGTTTCCAGCTTGTTTTAACAGATGAAAAAGTGGGAACTGAGGTGGTGGCTTGCCCACATTGATGCACCTGGTGAAAGTGCAGCAGAATTTGAACCCAGGCCTTTGCACCAGTTTTCTGAAGAAGTTTAAATCCTCGCTTGTTCCCCTTCCAGGAGTCAGGAATTTCTGGTTCTTGGCCCAGCTGACATGTGCACATGTGACTGACCTCCTCTGACCCCAGATTTGGATGCCATATTGTCTGCTTCCAGAACAAGGATCTTCACTATACATTGGGACCCAGGCCCCTCTGACATCTCCTGAATAAAAAGCGATGTTTAATAAAACAGTTTAAAATTTGTAAAAAAAAAAAAAAAGAAAAAGAAAAAAAAAGAAAGCCTTCCTCAGTGATCAATGTAAAGAAATAGAGGAAAACAATAGAATGGGAATGACTAGAGATCGCTTCAAGAAAACTAGAGATACCAAGGGAACATTTCATGCAAAGATGGGCACAATTAAGAACAGAAACAGTATGGACCTAACAGAAGCAGAGCATATTAAGAAGAGGTGTCAAGGATACACAGAATAACTATACAAAAAGATCTTCCTGACCCAGATAACCATGATGGTGTGGTCACTCATCTAGAGCCAGACATCCTGGAATGCGAAGTCAAGGGGGTCTTAGTAAGCATCACTATAAACAAAGCTAGTGGAGGTGATGAAATTCAAATTGATCTATTTCAAATCCTAAAAGGTGATGCTGTGAAAGTGCTGCACTTAACATGCCAGCAAATTTGGAAAACTCAGCAGTGGCCACAGGAGTGCACATGGTCAGTTTTCATTCCAATCCCAAAGAAAGGCAATGCCAAAGAATGCTCAAACTACTGCACAATTGCACTCATCTCACACGCTAGCAAAGTAATGCTCAAAATTCTCCAAGCCAGACTTCAACAGTATATGAACTAAGAACTTCCAGATGTTCAAGCTGGACTTAGAAAAGGCAGAGGAGACAGAGATCAAACTGCCAGCATCCACTGGATCATAGAAGAAGCAAGAGAGTTCCAGAAAAACATCTACTTCTGCTTCATTGACTAGGCTAAAGCTCTTGACTGTGTGGATCACAACGAATTGTGGAAAATTCTTCAAGAGAAGAGAATACCAGACTACCTTACCTCCCTCCTGAGAAATCTGTATGCAACTCAAGAAGGAACGGTTAGAACCCGACATGGAACAACAGACTGGTTCCAAATTGTAAAGGAGTACGTCAAGGCTATATATTGTAACCTTGCTTATTTAACTTATATGCAGAGTACATCATGCAAAATGCCAGACTGGATGAAGTACAAGCTGGAATCGAGATTTCCAGGAGAAATATCAATAACTTCGGATATGCAGATGACACCACCCTTATGTCAGAAAGTGAAGAGGAACTAAAGAGCCTCTTGATGAAAGTGAAAGAAGAGAGTGGAAAAGCTGGCTTAAAACTCAACATTCAGAAAACTAATATCATGGCATCTGGCCCCATGACTTTATGGCAAATAGATGGGGAAACAATGGAAACCCTGAGAGTCTTTATTTTCTTGGGCTCCAAAATCACTACAGATGGTGACTGCAGCCATGGAATTAAAAGACGCTACTTCTTGGAAGAAAAACTATGACCATCCTAGTCAGCCTATTAAAAAGCAGAGACATTACTTTGTAGACAAAGGTCTATTTAGTCAAAGCTACTGTTTAGTCAAAAACTACTGGTTTTTCCAGTAGTCATGTATGGATGTGAGAGTTGGACTATAAAGAAAACTGAGCACAGAAGAATTGATGCTTTTGAACTGTGGTGTTGGAGAAGACTCTTAAGAGTCCCTTGGATTGCAAGGAGATCAAACCAGTCAATCCTAAAGGAAATTGGTCCTGAATATTCATTGGAAGGGCTGATGATAAAGCTGAAGCTCCATTACTTTGCCCACCTGATGCGAAGAACTGACTCATTGGAAAAGACCCTGATGCTGGGAAGGATTGAAGGCAGGAGGAGAAGGGGATGACAGAGGACTAGATAGTTGGATGGCATCACCAATTTAATGGACATAAGTTTGAGCAAGCTCTGGGAGTTGGTGATGGACAGGACAGCCTGGCGTGCTGCAGTCCATGGGGTTGCAAAAAGTCGAATACAACTGAGTGACTGAACTGAACTGAATAAACATGGCACATCCTGATTATGCAACTATAAAAAGTGAGGAATATCTGCATACTGATATGGACTGATGCCCAGCATACAAAATTTTTATTTTGTTTTGCAGGGTACATTTTAAGGGAAAAAGTCAAAAAGAAGAAAAAATAAATGTGCAGTGTTACCATTTGGCTAAGAAAATGATGATATTTGCATAATATTAATATTCATATCTCTACTCTGTCTTGGAAGAACAAAACAAAAACTTTTTTAAAAAGGTTATCTATTATGTAACCCAGCAATTCCTCTTAGACATACCCCAAAGAAAAGAAAACACATATGTTCATACAGAAACTTCAACATGAATATTCACAGCAGCACTATTCATAACAGTCAAAAAATTGAAACAACCCAAAATTCATTCATCAACTGATGAATGAGTAAGCAAATTGTTATATCCAAACAACAGAATATTATTCAGTCATAAAAAAGAATAACATATTGATTCATACAACAAAATAAATGAATCTTGAATACACTGTGCTAAGTCAAAGAAGACAGTCACAAAAGGTCATACATTAAATTATGCCATCAATAAGAAAAGTCCCAAGTAGGCAAACCCAGAGAGAAAGAAAGTAAATTAGTATTTGCCAAGGTTAGGGGGAAGGTGAATGGAGAATAGGGAGTGGCATTTTTTTTTTGAGAAGATAAAATATTCTTCTCAAAATTAGATAGTGATGATAGTTGTCAACTTTGTAAATATACTAAAAATGATAAATTATACATTTTAAAGGGTGAGTGTTATGGTATATTAATTATATTTAAATATTTTAAATGCTTTAACCTTATCAATAGGAAGAAGAAACAGAATAGAAAAGATAGGAAAATAAACTGGATTTCTCTGAATATATTTACATTGTTTAATAGATTTGACTTTGGAAACATGTAAATATGCCACATATAAATAAAATCAAATTGAAAAGCAGGAATTCCCAGCAGTCTGGTGGCTAAGACTCCACCTTCCAATGCAGGGGGCACAGTTTCAATCCCTGGTCAGGAAACCAAGACCACACAAGCGTGTGGTACAGCCAAAGAAAGAAATAAATTCCTGAAATTCCTCTTTGGGAATATGCCACTAATTTGTTACACTGTTAGATTCATTTGTTCCATTTGATTTTTATTTTCAGGCTTTTCTTTCTTTCTTTTTTACTAACAGTTTTACTAATATATACTGCACATACCATATAAATCACTGATTTTATTAAAGTGAAAAATTAAGTGGATTTTAGGATATTCAGAGTCATACAACCCATCATCACAGTCACATTTCTAGCACCTCAGAAAGAAACCTAGTTCCCTTTAGCAATTACCACTCAATTATTCACCCACACTTCATAGCCTAGAGCAATCACTAAGTTATATTCTCTTTCTATGTATTTGCCTATTATGGATATTTCATATAAATGGAATCATTTGATATGTGGTATGTTGTGACTGGCTTCATCCATGCTGTAACCTGTATAGACACGTCATTCCTTTTTATGGCTGAATAATATTCTATTAAATAGATATACCATATTTTGTGAATCCACTCATGAATGGATGGAGATTTGGGTTGTTTTTACTTTTGACTATTGTGAATGATGCAGCTATAAACATTTGTGTACAAGTTTTTGTGTGAACATATGTTTCCATTTCTCTAGCAGTAGAATTACTTAAGTCCTTAAGTTTTTTGAGGAATGCCAGATTGTTCTCTGGAGCGGCTGCACCACTTCACAGCCCCACCAGTGTTTGAGGGTTTCCGTTTCTCTACATCCTTGTCAATGTTTGTTATTATTGTCTTTTCGATTCCAGCCATCCTAGTGGGAGTGAAGTGGTATCTCGTGTGATTTTAATTTGCATTTCCCTGATGGCAAATGAGTTTCATATGCTTATTGGCTGGGTGTGTATCTTCTCTAGTGAGATACTTCTGCAGACCCTGTGCTTATTTATATTTGGTTTTAGTAAGGACATTTTAAAATTGAGGTATAATTGATGTAAAACATTATATTAGTTTCAGGTGTGCAACATAATGATTCAATCTTTGTATACATCAATATGTTGCAAGATGACCACCACAATAATTGAGACTTCCCTAACAGTCCAGTGGTTAAGACTTCACCTAATGCAGCAGGGTGCAGGTTTGATTCCTGCTCTGGGAGTTAAGATCCCACATTTTGACATGGACCATTGTGGCCAAAAAACCAAAACATGAAACAGAAGCAATATTGTAATAAACTCAATAAAGACTTTAAAAATGGTCCACATCAAAAAAAAATTTAAAAAAAAAGCAAAACAATGTATTCTTAGCAACTTTCAAATACGCAGTATAGTATTAGTAATTACAGTCATCATGCTGTACATTACATACCATGACTAATTTATTTAAGTGGAAGTTTGTACCTTTTGACTCCTTTTCACCTACCCACCCCCACCCCTGATTCTGGTAGCCATCAGTCAAAGAAGGAACACTTATATGAGATCTCTTTTGCCCAATAAAAAAGTTATTTATTTCTTATTATTGATTTGTAAGAGATCTTGATATAATTCTAAACAGAAGTTCTTTATCGGATATATGATTTACAAGTGTTTTCTTCCAGTTTACGGGTTGTCTTTTCAACTTTCTTGAAAATGTCTTTTGAATCAAAAGAGTTTTAAATTTTGATGGAAGTCCAATTAATCTACTCTTTTTGCTGTTTGTGCTTTCAGTGTCATACTAAGATTTCATCACCAAATCCAAGGTCATAAAGACTTACGCTCATATTTTCTTCTTGACTTTTCTTTTCATTGGCTCTTACATTTAGGTCTTTATCAATTTTGAATTTATTTTTATATATGATATAAAGCAAGGGTCCAATTTTATTCTTTTGCTTTTGGATATTGTTGTCCCAGCATCATTTGTTGAAAAGACTATTTTTTTTCCTACTGAATTGTCTTGGCATCCTTGTTGAAAACTCCACTGACTAAATATATGAGTATATAAAACATATTGACTCTATCTCCCTCATGAAATATTGCCAAGGACAAAAAGAACAGCAAAGCAATTTGTTTCTTTTAAACATTTTTTTTTCTTCTTAATTTTTTTTTGCAAAGA